ATACTTTATATTAGGAAACAATTAATTGATTAAAAATTGAATGGTTGAGATGAGGGTTGTATAGGGTGTAGGAATGGCAAAGGGTGTAGAATAACATCCATATATATATATATATATATATATATATATATTATTTGTGTTTTAATTTTAGATAGTCAACATATACTATAAGTTCACATTCCATTAACATATATAGCATTCTTGAATGGCCTAATAATTTGGTCATGTTTCATTATTGGTAAAATACATAACTCCTTATCTCTCTTGCATGTTTAACTAACTACAAAATGTATTTATGCAATGTATCCTAATTATGTTTTATGGTTCGTTTTATTATCCATCTCTCTTGATTTGGTTTTCTGTGATTTTAAGATAGCGAAAGAGTCATCAATTGATTATCAGTTTTACAGAATATAATGTCATATCAGTAGTGCTTAATGTTTATCAGGGATATGAACGTATTTATTAGTTGATCATCTATTAGTTTTATGAAGTTTAAACCTGTAGCTTTACGAAGCTAAATGAATGCAGTAATAAATTTCAAACAAGTTTAGAAATATTTTCAAGTAATGATACCATTTGATTATAAGAAACAAAAATGTAGATGTTTTTGTACAAAATAATCTTTGGTTTATTTGTTAGTTATTTGTTTTTTATATGTGAGGTTTTGTGTTCAAGTCTTTTATTACAAATCTTTTTAGAAACATAATCAATCTGAAATTTAAAGCTAAAAACTAAGAAAATGACACAAACAATATTCGAACATGTGTTTAGGGTGGGAGAGAAGTCATGCAAACCAACTACACCAGATGAAACTTATGTCACCATTGTAGTTACCAAAATATGTACAGTTGCACAAACAAAATGGCACAGTAACACTTTTCACCACTCTATATTTTTTTACATTACAATGAAGAGACGAAAGGATGGCCCACGCCACTGTATCTATTAAAATGAGTCCAACCCTGATATAGCATTGATACTAGCATGAACAAACTCGTATTTAAGTATACTTATAATCGAAATTTTGAAAACCCATAAAGATATTATGATAATGTTTGTTTTTTAAAAGGTGCTGAAGTCTGATTTCACTTATGATTTATACAAAATGGTCCTGAAGTTTGCAATATGGATCAGTAAGATTGTTTGTTTTTACGTCTGAAGTCTGAAATTTGAAACGGTCAAACTAGTACAAAAATATAAAAAAACAAATAGTTTTTTTTACAAAAGTATAAAAGATTAATAGTTTCTGCTTACAAATCTTTTCCAAACCCCAAAATATGAACCATGTAATGGAGGATGGATTATGATTAGGAGGTATTAAATGATATATTTACCACTTAAATTTTCAGAGGACATTTAGAGCTTTTAATATTTTATTTTAAAAATAAAATAAATGTTCTTAACACCCAAACATTTGAACGAATGATGTTAAGAGGTAATTTTGAAAAAAAACAAACTCGGGCTACATCTTTATCAACATGGGTATTTATTTAATGACCCGACCCGTTTGCATTCTTCCCGGTACCCGTGACTCCGTGAGGTGTTGATGTGTCATGGGCACGACCAGTGTGGAACCCACAAAACAAATATTAAATTCTAGTGGAACCATGATACGTTGTCGTTTCCTTTTCCCCTTGAAATAGTCCAAGAACCGGGTTCGTTTCCCCAGACCGGCTCCTTTACGCGTTTCTGGAATTCCTTTTCCAAAACTAGGCGCGTCGCCAAAAGCCCAATCAATCTGAAAAAGTCCCTTTTTAGAAGCGGCTTTCACTTTTCATCCTTCATTTTTGATAGTTTTACACATTTGACCCTTGATAAAAAAATTAATTCTATCGGTCATTTTAAACCAACATGTCATTTATCATATTGGTCCATTCCTCTATTTAAGAAGTTATAGCAAGATAAATAATCCGAAACTTAATTCATTTGAACTTCCTTCGTCCGTCCTACCTAAACTTCACTACTTGGTTACTGATTACTAACGACTAATGAATGAGAATAGGTATGTCCGATACTATCGGTTCATGAACGGTTCATTGAACGTTCAGTTCGTTTACAGACCTATAATACAACTATACAAGAGCTGAGTAGTGCTTCATTGCTCAGTGCATGTGTAGGTGCAACCGGTTTTACATGTTAAGATGTTGGCAGAGATTTCAAAATCGAGATCTCACAACTCTTGCAAGTCCATATTTTTTAACTTGAAAAGATGACACATAAGAGTTCTTTTTCTTGGAGATATTTTGGTAAGAGGGACCAAAATCATTAAAGATTTCATCAAATGTCAGAATATGCAAATCAACAAATACTCCAGGGACCATTACCGTAAATCTCCTATTCTTTTTACAAATCAAAAACTTCGGTGACCTCAGGCGGCCTTGTTGTATAACTTTGAAGACCCAAGAAATTCATCGAAATTCCTGCTTCTTCGTTGAATATATTTGGTCAAACTACATCAAACCCTCGAAAACCCATTGTTCTTCTGCTCTGGATCTGCCTAATTTCAAGTATTTCACTTATTTTGATTTCTTGAACCGAGATTTTAGGGTTTATTCGGCGGATACAGTACTCAAAAGCTCACAACCAGAAGCTTTCTTGCTAATTTCTTGATTCTTGATCGACGAATTCAATTGGGTATTTGAAGAACACTCGCCCTTCGCCGGTGATCGAAAAATTGCTTTCTGGGTTCATGTTCTAAAGATCGGATATTATGGTTTTATGAGATGAGCGTGATTATACCCTTTCTGATTACTGATTCTATAAAAAATGGGTGTTCAAATGGTTTCGTTCATAGCGACTATTTTTCTAGTTTTCCCTTTGACAGCAATTTCAGAAAGCAACATCGATCCCCAGTATCTACCACTTGATAATCTGATCAATTTGGAGGAGATGATGCATAAAGAAACGGTAACTATATTTCTTTCACTTATTTATACTAATTTATCATGGAAAATCAAGATCTGATGAAGTTGGGTGGTTGCAGGCTGAGCTAGTTTGGGCTAATTGTGGAACAGAATTGATGCATTTGATAGAATCTTTTCAAGATCTTCAATCAAGTAGCAACTTTGATAGAACTCTTTTAGAACATGAAAGAATACTGAAATCTTTAGCTTTTCAAGATCTCCAAATCAAGAAAACTATATTAGATTGTTTGAGAGATAAAAGTGTTGGGTTTCTAGAATCAGGAGAAGATAAACATCCTAGAAAATGGTTTATGGAGTTCCTTGAGTATTTTTCTGAGTATTTTTCATCTGGGATTTCTAATGCTCGTAGAATTCGTAGATTAGCCGAAGCGGATTCCCCTGTTTCTAGTCCTTCACCTTCTCCTTCACCTTCACCAGCTGAGGCTCCTAGTATTAGAAAACCTCCTAGTCCTCCATTCTTTCCGAAGCTTAATGATTCTTCTTCTGGTAAAGATGCTGCTGAATCGCCTCTAGATTCTGGTTCTAAATCACAGTCGAGTTCGGGCAACAATGGCAGTCACAGAAAGATTATTATTGCTGTTGTTGTGACGGCCACGGTAACGTTTTTTCTAGCTGCCGTGCTCTTCTGTTGTTATACTAGGATTTGTGGTAATCGGCGTGGACAGAATGACGATAGGCCGCTTCTTAGTTTGAGTTTGAGTGATTATTCGATGAATGGTACGTATTGTGATTGGTTTCTTGATCATGATTCATGCTATTAGTTTGTAAAGAATTGATATTTTGCATGTTGGTGGTTCTTATTTGAGTTCATCTTTAATCTTTCAGGTGCTCCATATAAAACGTCTTACAATTTGAGCAATTCTGTGCATAATATTGGGAATATTGGCGATGAATCGTTATATTCTAACTCAAACTTACAGAAAATGGATTCATCTTTTGATCCTAGAGTTTCTTTCGATTCTAATATCCCTTTAGGAATTCCGTTACGGCCTCCTCCTGGAAGGGTAGAAGTAGAATCATCGTTACGACCGCCACCTGGAAGGGTAGAATCATCATTACGGCCGCCTCCTGGAAGGGTAGAAGTAGAATCATCGTTACGACCGCCACCTGGAAGGGTAGAATCATCATTACGGCCGCCTCCTGGAAGGGTAGAATCGTCTAAACGCCCTTCTGAGATAGGAGCTCCTAGTCCTCCATCCACCACAGCTCCACCTCCTCCTCCTCCTGTATCGCCTAGACCTCCTACCGCTGGTCCACCACCTCCTCCTCCACCACCTAGAGGAGCACCACCACCACCACCACCTAAACCGAATGCAGGTCCACGCCCGCCTCCTCCTCCTCCAAGGGGCGGTGCACCTCCGCCTCGACCGCCAAGTGCAAGCCTAAAACCTCCTCGCCCGTCAGCTGGACCTAGTCATTCTAGTACCGATGATTCTGATGCTTCTAAAGCTAAGCTAAAACCGTTCTTTTGGGATAAGGTTATGGCTAACCCAGATCAATCAATGGTTTGGCATCAGATAAAATCAGGGTCATTTCAGTAAGTTATCCGCTTTCTAGCTCTAGAAATTATTATGTCGATATTTGAAGCCCTCATAACATCATGAGTTTCTTTAATCAACAGGTTCAGTGAAGAAATGATAGAAACTTTATTTGGGTATAACGCCACTGACAAAAACAAAGATCACACCAGGAAAAATTCTGCATCCCAAGACCCCGGTTTCCAGTATATTCAAATAATCGATCCAAAAAAGGCGCAAAATTTGTCTATTCTTCTAAAAGCATTGAATGTGACAACCGAAGAAATTTGTGACGCACTAAAAGAAGGTATGTTTTTCCTTGCGGGTACCAACTATTCATGTTTATTCATGATGAATGTGGTGATAGATATCCATGATTAAAGTATTTATAGTGAAAATACATGATATTCATAATGAATAAGGGGTTATTCATCATGAATAATTTATAAAATAGTTGGTTCACATATGAACTTTCCCCTAATCCTACAAGATTTAAAGAACCAATCTTGATGGTTCAGATACGATCTTGATTACCATCTGATGCATTGAACGAATTCTAACCTATATGAGGTGAATCAGGAAATGAGCTTCCTGTTGAGCTTGTTCAAACTTTGATAAAGATGGCACCGACTGCCGATGAAGAACTAAAGTTGAGGATGTACAATGGGAATCTTTCTCAGCTTGGAACCGCAGAACGGTTTCTAAAACTGGTGATTGAAATCCCATTTGCTTTCAAGAGACTAGAATCGTTGCTCTTTATGTGCACGTTCCAGGAGGAAGAATCGATGATCAAAGAGTCGTTTGTAACTCTAGAGGTAAAACTTTGAATCTTTGCTTCTAAATCATATAAAGTTCATATCCACAGCTGGTTTGGATCAACTTAGGAAAAGCTAATTTTATGGTGTTTTTGCAAACTCTATAGGCTGCTTGTGTAGAACTTAGGAAAAGCCGGTTGTTCCTCAAACTCTTGGAAGCGGTTCTGAAAACGGGAAACCGTATGAACGATGGAACTTTCCGTGGCAGTGCACAAGCGTTTAAACTCGATACACTCTTGAAGCTATCGGATGTTAAAGGAATCGATGGGAAAACGACGCTTTTGCACTTTGTGGTTCAAGAGATCATTCGTTCAGAAGGTATAAAAGCTGTCCGAGTTACCCGCGAATCTAAAAGCTTCAGAACTGATGACCTTCTTAAAGAAGCTTCATCTTCTTCGCAAGAAACAGAAGAGCGTTATCGCGTTCTTGGGCTTCAGGTGGTTTCTGGTTTGAGCAGCGAGCTCGAGAATGTGAAGAAAGCAGCTATTGTCGATGCTGATGGTTTGACCAGTTTGGTTTCGAGGCTCGGTCATGCACTCGTGAAATCCCGTGAATTCTTGGACACGGATTTAAAGAAGATCGACGAAGACGGTGATGAATTCCAACGAGTTTTGTCGAACTTTGTGAAGACCGCGGGGAAGGAGATCACGTGGATGCTTGAAGAAGAAAAGAGAATCATGGCTCTAATTAAGAACACTGCGGATTACTTCCATGGGAAGTCCGGGAAGGATGAGGGGTTGCGGTTATTTGTAATTGTTCGTGATTTCTTGATAATTTTAGATAAGGTATGCAAAGAGGTTAGTAACTATCCCGTAAGTACGCCAAGAACGCAGAAAAACGACGAATTGCAAGGCGGGGTTCAAAGAAAAGATGATCAGGCGGTGGGCGGAGGTCCTTCTGAACCTCGGAAAACTCCGTTTTTCGATCAACATCAACGGCTATTTCCGGCGATCGCACAGCGGCGGATGGAGAGTTCTAGTTCAGATGAGGATTAGTGTGTAGGTTTTTGTGATCAAACAACAAAACTTGATTCTTTTTTTCCTTTGGTTTTGAAGGGTGTAGGTGTTGTATATGAACCCTAATTGTCATACAATATGTGCATTGATTTGATTACCAAATTGCCATCACAGTCTTCTGTTTGATAGTTTATGGGTGGCAATGAAATTGGTTATGTTAATATTATTTGAAGAAGGGTATTTTAGTCTTTTTATGATTTTGGTATATGTTTATTTCTTCGAGATGAAATTTGATAATCATTTGGTTGACAGAAATTGAAATATGCATGCTTTGTTGGGAGCACGTAGTTTTGGAATTGTAATTAAATAATAGGGTAAATTGCATGAAAAAGTAATGTACTTTAACTTGATTTCTATTTTGGGTGACGTATTTTTAAAACTTCCATTTTAGTACCTAAGATGTAAAGTTTTACAACATTTAAGTACACGGGTAAATGGTTGAAGCATTAACTGGTTATCATGTTGATGTGATGAGTGGTGTGGTATCCAACTGAGTATTATTTGCTGACGTGGTTAATGACATGAATTTTTTTTAATCTAAAATTAGTCTTCAACTGGTTACCAGGTACTTAAATATATATTTAAAATTTTACATTTTAGGTACCAACATGTAAGTTTTGAAAGTACGTTATCCAAAATAGAAATCAAGTTAAAATACGTTATTTTTTCATGCAATTTGCTCTAAATAATAATAATGACCAAAATGCATTTTTTGTGACTTTTTGTTACTTTCTTGCTTAAATTATACATACTATATGGTTGAGTTTGGTGAGGCTGAGAGTTATAGTAAGAATGATAAGAAGAGATCTCTACATTTGGATCAATCATAATTGAAGAGTTCCATTGTATAAAGACTAATGAGAAACTCCAGATCAATTCCTTTCTAAAATGCAATTCAGGGGGTTAGTTTGAGATTAAAAATGATCAATGGTCCAAATTCTTTCATACCCTTCTCACGTTAACTTTTATTTTAACACGATTCTTCATCTACTCACTACAACAAAATTGATTTCATAGGAGGTTTAGGGGCCGTTTACCAAACGCTTACCCAGATAAGCGCTTACCAAATAACATTACCTCACTGCATGAATATGGTAAAAACCACGAATCTTACCTGGTAAGAGCGAGACAATGACCAAGAGTCTTACCCGGTAAGTGAGGGGGACGA